GGGTTTGGGTCCAAACCGTGTTCCTAGTTCTCTCCCTTCTAAAAACAGTGATGCCAATGGATTGGGAGGTAACTATTTTCGCTTCATCACCATCTAATGTAGATGTTGATGAGACAATTACTGCACAAGTTTACAAGGGCCATAGGAATTGCAAGACAGTGAAGGGTGTTACTTTTTTGGTCCTAAATGTGAGTATGTGGTGAGTGGGGTCAGATTGTGGTCGGATTTTCATTTGGAGAAAGAAAGGTGGCAAGCTTCTTCGTGTAATGAAAGCAGATAAGACAGTTGTCAACTGTATTGAGTCTCATCCTACAATGGTTCTTGCAAGCAGTGGAATTAATAATGACATCAAATATGGTCCCAAGGCACTTGAGAAAGCTACTTTACCCAAAAATATAAACCAGGTATGAATTCAGCCTGTTGGGTTAATTTGTGCAAGTCAAAAAGATAGTGCGCAAAATGATATTAAGTGGCATCATGCCTTTATATGTGTGTGTACTCTAGGTTCAACTTAGAACTGTACCTTATAAAACTCAAACTATTTTCCAAAAATTATTATTTTCAAATAAACTCAAGAAACCGAATAAATGATGAGATGTTCTGCTGGTAAGAATCTATTTCGAAAATCCTTTTCAGCCTTCTTTCCTCCTCCTGCTCTTGGCAGGTGATCCCAATCTTGACTTACGGTTCTAGTGCTCCTTGAAAAAAGTTCAAGGACAAAATTGGATTTTAACCAATTAGAATAATCTTCAAAGGAAAATTTCTTTTTCTGGGCTTCCTTGGTTGAGCAGTTATTTGGGAATTTTGACTCGCTAAATTTTTTGGGATCTTTGAATTTTAAAATTCCAAATCAGTTTTGTTTACTATATTTTAATAACAATTGATAATATTTAAAAAGCAAATTACACCATATTTTTGTAATCATTCATGATTTGGGATTCTAAAATTTTAAAGGTATTTTTTTTGGAATTTTTCGAAATTTTTTCCCTATAATATAAAATGGAAAACATCTTATTTACTTAAAAATCTGTAGTTTTTAAACAATAGAATTTTTTTTAATTCTTTCTTTTTCCTTTTTCTGAGAGGAAATGCATTCTCTTCTTAGTCTAGAAAACCTAGTTTTGACTCTTGAAAATCGAATGCTAATTAAATCGGACCATAATGTTTGTCTTGCATTTACGATATCTTTATATTTTGTTGATGAGCTTGCTTTTAATTCTGTTCTTACCTGGGCTGCTTGCTTCTAAACGTTGTGGGATGGCAGTAAAAAGGGGGGATTTAGTTTTCTATTGACGCTATACCATTATCTGGGATCTTGGTCGGTGTGACCCACCCTCCATTACCTAGAAACCTTGCATTTAGAGGGGGATTGAACTAGCTATTGTTCTGTGTGTGGGTGGATCAGAGAAGCGAAGGTTTCATGTGTTCTTTAAGCTGTTTTGGGCAGCAGAGGAACCAATTTCTCTTAAGTTAATTCTATGACCAGAGTTCCTGTATTTGATGTGATTATGATGACGATGATATGCCACATGGTGATAATAGTGATTATGTCGATAGTAACAATGGCAATGCTGATCACTTAGCTTGGTGGTTGCAATGATAATAACTTTGCGTGTCCGACAGAATTCACAAGCTAGGCGGCGGATGTCCCAGATAGCTTATCAAGGCCTGCGACTATTTTCACTTCCCAGGCGGAGGATTAACATAGACGGCAATGAACATAACATGGCTCTGCGACGGGCGTTTCTGGAGTTGACCTCAAGATTCTATGCTGCTGATGATGAGGGCTCCGGTAACGTTGATGGGGCAGACATAACCGGCTAGGGGCGGATTTGTTCATTTTAATGTCACTCTTCTTGACGTCGAAGAACGGTGGCAATTGTATGAATATAGCACAGGAATTTACAAGGGTAATTGTGCATATATCGATGTGTGTGTATAAAATAAATATCTGTGGGCATGTTCTTATAACCTTATTATAATCATTTGTCTTTACTTAATAAGAAAACTTCTATGTAATTTTCTATTTCTTATCATAAAATTATTTATTTGAAACATGCTAACACGTAATCTTTACAATTCAATATTGCGTGATTGATGCATTCTGATCGAACTTATTTAGCATAAGTGGTTGTTTGGGTCTCAATCAAATGATATTTTAAGCACTTGAGGCTCCGGAGGGACACTGAAAACAAGGTGATTATATACGACAGTATTTATGGATACACATAAACGAGTAACTATAATTTCTGTTTCTTGTATTTTGGCGTAATTCAGTTAATTTAATCCTAGGTGTTAAAGCATGAAGTAGCAGTGGTTCGTTACGGGGGTTCCATGAAGTAGTAGTAGTGATTTTTCGATTAGGCAGCTCGTCCGGAGGCGTTCCTGCTGTCGCTATACTCGTTGATTCTGCCACTCGCGAATCGCATTAGAAGGAGCAGCTTGGATCCATATGCTCTGAATAAATGCAATCATCTGCGCGGAGCAAGCTTGAGATCAGAAGCTATATATAGACAGATCTATTATAATCTTGCTCATGGATGTAAATTTCAGAAAACCCAGATCAAGGCTCTCTTGTTTTCAGCACTGACCAGTGATACCCCAAGGCACATGATGCTGAAACCTGGAAAATAGAAGGGCGCTTCTTCCGACAGGAACAAAGCTACAAAAGAATCAGACGGCGGACAAGTAATTAGTTAGGCTTTCTCAGTACTTCATGTTCCCCCCCGTTTGACTTTTGACACCAAAGCCTACGTACCTGTCAGGGGAGTGAACATTAACGGAGCGATGATGTTAGCGAAGGAGCTAATTCCTGAAAAGCATCCTTGAACCATTCCCTAAACCAAACATTAATCAGTGGAGAAGCTGAAAGGCGTCATACGGTCATGAAGTGTTAAAAAGACGATGAAGGATATCCAAATACATACCTGCTCTGCAGGTCCAACCTGTTTAGATACAATGCTGCTGATCTGTATGTCACACACATATGCATCCAACTAGACTGATCAGCATACAGAGTCCAACAAGTTTAACCAAATAAACAAGGGACAGCAACGTACACTTGGGCGCACCAAAACTCCAAGGACAGTGCAGACTCCTAAGGCATATGGAACCTGCATGATTTGCAAATTATTTCAAGAATTATCACTATCACTATAAGATATACATAAAGTTACGTAGAAAGCTCTACGGATTGCAAGCAATAAACAGTATGGCTAATCTTAACTTCTGAAGAAAATATAAACAATTGTGAGAGTGCTTGAAGAGAAGACTACCCATGGCGCCCAGGATAAGCTGTAAACTGAAGTCTGCAATCATCATCAAATATGGTGAAGCGTTAGTACCCCCTTCTTGACAAAGTGTTGCGGAGAAGATGGGAAGCTGATACTTACAGTGATGCTGCCAACAAAGAGGCCTATTGAAAGCAACTTTTCCTCCCCTATAACTGGTACTAATCTGGGCATTAATAGCAGCTGCAGAGTTGTAGATGTCAAACTAACCAACTAAATTTGAGTTTGCATTAAAAAATTGGATCGATCGACAAACCACAATTGGGGAACAGAGGCAGACCTGCACTAGAGTTGCTCCAACCCCATTAATAAGCATCAGATCAGCGAACTGGTTCTTGCTGAATTGAAATCGATACTTAAGTAGTACTGCATGAGGTGGTAAAACTCTATTAACTTACAATTAACTACATGAAAAACTTTGTAAACTATTGCTGCTTTGCTGTTAAAATCGTATATACATGCTATGTATAGCTACTGATGTGATTATTGTAAATACCAGCACCGAAACCTGCAGACCGCCTTCTGCAAGACTGTTAAAGAAGCAAACAATCGCTGCTTTCGAGAACGTGGGGCTGCAAAAGTGAAGAGCTTCTCTCATCGCTTTTACATAATTATTAAAACAAAGGAACGTGCCCATGCATGTTATAATAAGATGCATTATGGCAGTGGGCTTTATTAGTTGCGTGCGTACCTGGACTTGAGCAAGCCAATGAGATCCCTCAGCGATGGCAGTGTCTTGAATATTGGCGGTGATGAGTCCGAGTTCTCACTGACCTCTTCAACACACGGCGGCCCGCTCTCTTTCAACATTGGCTGCCTCACACAACCCCGAACAACCAAGCTTTCTTCCAGAAATATTCTCATGTACACCGCTGAACTCATGGCAAATAATGCAGCAACCTGAAGAAAGCCCACCATTTTCATCATAAGCATATGTAAGATAACATATTTTGCTTAAAAGTCAAAACATCCATTTTAATCAAATAATCTCTAAATAATTATAAAACTTTTGAAACTAATTAACCATTCTTCTAAATAGCGATTTTTATGGAGGGTAATTCTAATATATATAAATATGTAACTAATTTTAATTAATTCTATTAATTTACGTAAATTGTTATTAGGAGGTTATAAATATTGATTAGCAGCCACAAGCGACAGACGGATTGAGTAAGAAAAGAGAAGAATAATATTAGAGAAAACCTGAAATGTGAGAGCAGTAGAGAGGAATCGAGAAGCTAAGGTTCCGCAGACGAATGATGCGGAGCCGACGCCTCCGAGAATTCCGAAAGCGGATGCCCGTTTTCTCTCTCCAACCTTGTCAGCCTGATCGATCATGATCACATACAAATGATTCATTCAGTGGTAGAAACCCATGGGAATGGGAATCATTAAAATATAGGAGTATTTATTAATCTGGGGAGCCGGGAGATACTATATGTATATGTATGTGCGTATATACCAGGTATGCAAGAGCGAGGCAGTTGACGGAGCCTTCGCCGACGATGGCAGTAAGAGTCTTGACGGCATAGTAGGCGTAGAAGTAGTTTGTAGCCCTACTGTATCCCAATATCACTGCAATCACCATAATACATCATCCTCAAAAATACGTTAACAACGATCACATGAAAATGTCGGCACAAACCGAGTTAGTTTACTTAATTATGCACGGTTCAGATCGGTCAAACCTTGGTCTATATATATGAAAATCTAGCTAGTTACAGCAATGGGAGCGAAGCGAAAAGGAGAGCATGTTTGATTAGAATGAATGGTGGGCTGGGCCGCGTCAACGTTTGAGGATGACGCGTGGAGATCGTACAAGCAGCTGAGCTGGGGCCCCCTCCCGACAAAGATATTATAAATTCTGCGGTAAGGAAGCAATGGAAATTAATAGAAAACGATGATACGAACCTAGGGAAAGACGGAGAGGGTGAGCGGAAGCGTGAGCAGAGCTTTCTGCCGTACTTGTCCGACAAGTTCCCCATCAACGGCGTCGTCACCACTGCTCCCACCCCCGTTATCTGCACCCAATTTATATTTTTCCTTTTTTCAACAAAATTTATCCAAACATATATAATTATGCATCATCATCACCATCACCATCACTTTTTGATCAAAGCATATATAGACACAACTCCTGCTCTGTTTCCCCGTCACTTCAGCACTGATGTTACATCCACCCCTATATTTTATGCTCACATAACTCTAACTGCATTAACCAATCTATGCGCTCTATCTGATTGTACAACCAACACTTCTGCTCGCTCTCCGTATTCAAAGCAAACATGAACCCACCACTCGAAAGATGAAAAATCAACAGGTTGGGCTTCTAAAAACGACCGACTTGGATTTCTTTTTCGGTTTTTTCCTGAAAACCTACACAAGCTCAACTCAAATCATAATTCAACCAAATATTAACATACTCATATTACTATACTTATTGGGTTTCCAGCAGGCGTCCGGCAGCGCAAGAAGCAAGAACAAGTCGCGAGCTTCTTGGCGCTTGCCATTCGAAGAAAACGAAGACTGACTAGCAGAATTAAAATGCCCAAAAAAATTCCGACATCATGAATTCCTCATTCAACAACTCAATTATGGTCTTTCCAAAAGAATTGATATATGCATGCGAGCCCATCAGTCCGCGATATAAGTATATGACTGATAAATTTTTTGCAAAAAGTGGGGACAATCACAGCGGACATAGGTTGGGATTTCGAATATACCTGAGTACTTAGGGGCGTCAAACAGATTTTATTTTTTGGGTTAAAAACTAAGAATTAATATCTTATAATATTAAAATAAACATGTGAAATTACTTAATTTAATAATACTGAGAGTGAAGACATCACTCGAAACCACTTCATCCTGCATTATGATATATAGTATTTACATATAAACATGAAAACGTTGGTTCATGTATAGATGGGGGGTATAGCGGCCATAAACCGATGAGATGGAAAGAGGAATAACAGAACCAGCAAGCGAATGATGTCAAATCGAGAAGAGGAACAAGAAGCAGAATGAAGAATAGGAATACTTAACGGCCTGCTGAAATCCGGTGAGATAAATGGCGAGAGAGCACTGATATTCAGCGGGGCAGAGCGCCGACATGGTCACGTCAGTTATTGCCGGAGCCACCATGAAACCCGATGTCCCCCACAGAAACACCGTCACCAAAAGCTGCCTCAACTCCTTCTCCATCTCTCTCTTTCCCCACTTTCTCTCTAACGACAAAGAGTTAAAAGACATGCTTTCTGCTCAAATAATAACATGCGCTCGCTTCCCACTCGGCTCCGTTTCTTTTTCCTTTTTCTTCTTGGCCAAGGTTCGTTTTTCCTCTACCTTTCACCTTTTAAGCCACGACGGAGAGTGGCTTCTAGAAATACTAGACTAGAAAGGCAAAAGTAAAACCGACCAAGGTCACTCCCTGATGTAAGTGATATGGGAAATCGCAATATTACTTTTGAAATAGTAAATAATGAATGAATATACTTCTCCTCAACGAATATTTTATTCTATAAGGATCTAAAAATTTGACTAAGTGCGTGTTTTTGGGGGCAAAAGCTAGCCATGCAAAGATATTGACAAATACTATACTTTGCCTTTCAGGGGATCATTATATCTTTATTATGACTTGGTTGAGAAATTAAATGGAACGTGACCGCTAAAATAGTGGCCAATTAAATGGAGATGGGAAATAATATTGTCGTTATGCATGATGAAAGCCTGTATGGAGATTGAGTGCAGTGGTTGGAGATAACCTGATATTACGGGCACTTGGTGCGTCCGGAGGTTGGCAAGGTTGCATTTACTTATTGGTCTGCACCGGAAACGTGGATTAGGACATCAGGATTTTTATTGAAGACGCAATGGCCACATCGCACGCCCTTAACACACATAATTACTTACAAGTGATCCCCCTTCTAATCCATAACAAATCATACGCCCAAGAATGAGAGCCAATAGTGGGCCGTTTGGGCCGCTAATAAGGGCCCACGTTTGAGCAATCCCAGGCACGGTAATTCCGCATCTTGACTTTTGTTTGTCTATTGAGTTCGGATCCTGCTCGCCCTCATCTCGGCGTTGCTCTGTATGTGCATCGTATAGCATACCATTCGCATTCCAATCCTTTCATTCCCCATTCCATTCCCATTCTCAATCTCTAGAGCTATAACAGCATGGATTCCGTTGCACTCTTGTGCACCGCCCCCTCGTGGTGGCTGGCCTTTACTGGTTCCTCTGCATCTTCGGCCCCGCCGAGCAGAAAGGAAAGACAACCATCAACCTCTCCGGCGGTTCTATCTCCGCCGCTGAGGTCCAAGACGCTACAAACAGTACTGGTCCTTCTTTCGCCGTCCCAAAGAAATCCAAAACCTTGATAATGTCCCTTCCTTCGTCGACACTTTCTACAACCTGGTCACTGACATCTACGAATGGGGCTGGGGCCAGTCCTTCCACTTCTCCCCTTCCATCCCGGGCAAATCCCACGGCGAAGCCACCCGAATCCATGAAGAAATGGCCGTTGATCTCCTCGACGTCCGTCCCGGCAGCAAGATTCTCGACGCGGGCTGTGGGGTGGGCGGCCCCATGCGCGCCATCTCCTCACATTCCGGCGCCAGTGTTGTTGGAATCACCATCAACGAGTACCAAGTCAGTCGGGCAAAAATGCACAATAAGAAAGCGGGGTTGGATAAATTATGCGAGGTTGTTTGTGGTAACTTTCTGAATATGCCATTCAAAGAAACTCCTTCGACGGGGCTTATTCCATCGAGGCGACCTGTCACGCTCCAAAGCTCGAGGAGGTTTACGCCGAGATTTATAGGGTTTTGAAGCCCGGGGCAATGTATGTCTCCTACGAATGGGTGACTACGGATTTGTATAAGCCTGAGGATTGTCGTCATGTGGAAATTATACAGGGAATAGAGAGAGGCGATGCTTTGCCCGGTTTGAGGAGCTACAGTGACATTGCGGAGACGGCGAAGAAGGTAGGATTCGAGGTGTTGAAGGAGAAGGACCTGGCGAAGCCGCCGGCAAAAGCATGGTGGTCGAGGTTGAAGATGGGGAGTTTAGTTTGCGTACTTGAGGAACCACCTGATGATTACGGTGCTCGCATGGCTGGGAATTGCACCGAAAGGGGTTGTTGATGTGCACGAAATGTTAGTGAAGACAGCTGATTATCTCACCAGAGGTGGCGAGACAGGCATTTTCACTCCCATGCACATGATTCTTTGCAAAAAGCCAAAATCTGCTACTTCTTACTGAACGTGCTAAAGCAACCCTCCATTTGTCTACGACACCTTTTCTTTTTCCCGGCCAGAATTTGCTTACATTTTGATTGATTCTTCGCCTCTAGAGCTACGAGCAACCAGGTAGTTAATTAGTTGAATAAGGTATATTATATTATTCTAGTTCTGGGAAAATTGTTGGATTATTGCTCTGGTTATCGACGAAAATTCTCGGGTTAATTCGAGTTCAATTTTTTCTCTATGAACATCTCTCTGGTCTATGGCGGAGGACAGAGTTTTTTCGTGCTTCTTTTAAGTGTGTAAACATGCGAACTGGTTGGGGTTTGGGGTTTGGATTTTCTGCTTCGTACGTCCAAGCTGAGGAGATGCAAATTAAATGACGGTAAGGTCGCGGTTGAAATATAGCCGGGTAATTAGAATCAGTGACATGCGGACAAGGATGCATCATGATATTTTAATTTGGTGACAATGCTCATAAAACCTACACTCAACACTTTAAACTGTGTATAGATATATAAAGCGTGTTTCTACATTGATTTTCATCCAAATTAAAGGGAAAGAACACATTGTGTTTACATTTTCACTTATATATTGAACTCAACAATCACTAATATGTTATGTATGGTGTCGGGAAAAGCTAACCCTGTTGATAAGCATGGCGGCGTTAATCATTTTATATGTGAAATGGGAATGTACATGTGCTTTCAATTGGACAATAGTACTGCATCAACCATTGGATGTGGGAAATAATCAAGGGATGGCAAAGGTAGCGGAACATGTGGGGGACAAGTGAAGTCCCCCAAATTAAACTTCACATTATTGCCCGCTCAAGTATGAATGAATTAAATCAGGAAGAGGAAGTGGCATACGAAGCTTTTGTGGTTGCTTTCCATCTCTGACGAATATGTTATTATATATAAGTATACATCAACATCTATGACGTATGTGATTTCACGTGGAACATGAACTGTAAGTCACTGGTGAAAAGACAATTCAAAGGCATCCCGCGAAAAATATATAATGAAGGGAAAGGGAGAGCACTTGTAGGATCTCAGGTTTTAAATGCGCTGAGTTAGGCTGCATCTGAGGCAAGAATCGCGTGATCTATCCACGTGGCTGTTGGGTTCCTTTGTTTGTCT